GTTAACATTGTTTATAATTCTTGAGATTTTCATGTGACAAATAGGGAGTTCAGAGGCGCAAGCCTACCTTTCCCTCAAATATACTGACTGACTGACTGACACTGTCTGATTGGTCCGATTGGGCATGCTTGTGCATGCTTTGCATGCCTTAAGTACGCTGTACTATGCACGTTAATAGGCATCCAAACTTACGCCTGTCTTCTCCTGATTCGAACGAGGCGTTGTTGAACGGTGAAAAAGAAGGCTTGTCACTCGTTGATAAACGTTCAACGACCGCTAACGGACTTCACTTGTTTCGTTGTGCGTTGGGTCTCATTTCTCGGGCCACCTTCAAATCTCCTCCTCTTTTGGTTTGGATTTCACAGTTGTTTCTCTACCTCGTATGTATATTTTTAAAAGGCAAATTTCGAGAAGATTCAAGGCGCTGGTGGATAAAAAACAATTTTTTCTCTATCCATAACCCTGCTACTTCGTACGGTTATCTTTCCGCTCACACAGGATCCTATTGGTTATATTTTCGTTATTTTACCCTAGTGCTAATTGAGTTGCGTTAGTGTTTTCTGGGCGACTAAAATAAAAAAATAGTATTATTAACGCTGGGAACTGTAACCGGCCGAACACTGGCCATTTATTCGTCTATAGGGACATTTTTTAAAATTCTGCTTTCAAGATATTCGAATGTGTGCACTGATTCGGGTTGGCTTTCATTGATGCTTATGTGAGGTTCATTGCGCCCGCGCTTGACGATGATCGATGCATGATTACGCTTGACGGTAAATCGGAATTAAGAGCAAGGGAACTTGAAGACTTCTACACTCCACCATATATCCTTTCCCGTTGTAGTATTTAGTGAGCCATCATCCGCGCAAAAGAGGTTGTGATCGCTGGTCTGGAATACCCTAGAGGGCGCTCTAATGCAACGAATGTTGAACAGTTTTTGTCGGTTCGGTGGCCAATGTCGATTCCCGACCGCGCCTAACGATAGGCCTTCGTCTGCATGGTGGAAAGGACGAAATTGACGTGGGTTGGAGCCTCTGTGCCGCTCTATTTCATTCCATTGGGTACTGTGAGCTTTGGGCTCTTAACATTGCCTATGACGCGAATCATGATTTGATCATTGACTTGGAGAACCATTTGTGTAAAATGCTCCATTGAGCATTCAGTTCAGCATTCTTTTTACAAAGCACCATAGTAACTGTGTTCAAGGCCTTTGTTAAATTTACAAGGGTGGTGTATAGGTTGGTCTTCATCTCGTAAAACTCATGTAGTCAGTGGGCTGCCAAGATACTGTTTATGAAATTGCAGTTCCTTAGAAATTAAGACCTGCCTTCTTGAGAAATCCTTGCTCAATATGGTCGAACGAGGGTGCAACTGAAGGTTTTCCTGTGATTTTTAGTAACAAAATGCCTCTGTGACTGTCGAGAATGCTCGGTTACTTTTGCGATGGTATATATGGATGACAGTTTTATCTTCGTAGTGCGGAGGAACCTGTCCTTGTCATAATATTTCCCAGGAGCCTGATGTCAGCTTGTTCATCAGCCGTCAACCACCTTGATTGAGGACCTTAGCTGTGATTGCATTGGATCCCGATGTTTCCTCATGGGACATTTGGCATCCAGACTTTATTATTTCTAAGAGGGAAGGCCGGGAGTCCGGGCCAATTTTCGTTTCCACCTGAGTGTTTGGTAGATGGTGGCGTTGGATATCGTGAGCGCCCGATTGAGAACACTTCTAACTTGTCTGACCCAGCGATTCCGGAATTGTGGATTCTACATTTCGGTATACTTAAAATACTTCGCAGAAGAGGTTGAAGCAGTTCCGTTACACCTACAATATGCGGCCTCACCCGAAACAGAATTACTCATGGGGTGGAGTTGCTGTTCAAACAACCCATCTCACCCAAATCTGACACGGGGTTAAGTTGGAAAGCAACCTGACTCATGGCATCTATGGCTTTTCCTTTATGCACAAGGCACTGACAACGTAAACCCCATCTAAAGAGAACGGGCAAGTAGGAAGTATGAACCACGCTGTAGTTAATCGGCATATGCGGCGAACGATCAACCTCATAGCTGAGATTCCCGCTGGTCTTATTCTTTAAGGGCGCATCGTGCTAATATTTTTACATCCACGGGATAAACTCCCGCCTTACTCTATGCATATTGATAGTTTCATATCTCGATTGACCCCCATATTGCCATACTGTCTACAAACACTTTCGCTTCGGATAAGCGCAGGCTGGAACTCCCGAAATTATTACGACCTATGCTTAAGTTTACACGCGTACATGTTCAGACTGTTCTGACCCGATCTGGTACAAAATAATAGCAATAATAGTATGCTCTATTAATGTCCAACACTAACGACACGGCGGAGAACCAAAGCACGGCCAGCCACAGAAACACATTTTAAACATGCAAGTCCTTTTCACTGGGAAACTAAGTGCATTTATAACACCCCGAAGAAGCTGGTCAAAAATCTGCCTTGTCCGGTTTAGCAAATGTCTAGAAGAACTAAGTAATTGCTCTCAGATGGTTCAAGGGTTCCAGGCAAGCCCATGGTCGCAGCCGATGTTGAGAGGGTGTTAAGAGAGCACCAAGATGCAACCGGGACACGCGCGCGTGCTGTCCAGAGAGGTGAACTGGCACCCATGGGAATTCAGATTTCCCCAACAGTTGTTATCTGAAAAGTCAACAAGTATGCTGACGGTACGTCAGAATTCCGCGATTGCCGTTTGAAGATAATCCAAACCTATGGTTTTATTCCTAGGCATCTCGATTATTTCAGAAGCCACTGGGCTAAACAGTTAAGTTTTCACAATTCTGTCGATAAACCCCAATGCATCCCCCAGGATTGCGAAGCAGTATCGGAGAAGTGCACTCACAGGTGACTCTAAATACTCCCGCAAATGGTCGACCAAGCTTGTATCTACTGAAATCACTTGCCTTTTCGATATTATCTATGGCTTACTGGCGACAGCAGATTACGATGAAGCTATCGGGCACGTAACCTTTCACATATCCCTATTACACGAAAATTGCGTAGGCGTTTGCCTGATGACTGAGAATTCACTTCTTAATTGTCGCTCTTGAAGCCAGCCTCGCTGTAGTTTGACGAGTATATAGCTATTATACAACAGCGTAAATATGACTGTAAAATCCTGCCAACGATCGACTCGACCTTCCTATAATTACCTATGACAAAGGATTCCCGAGGGAATCCGAAAGGTCAGGAAAATAAAACCCTTATTCCAGTGATCGCATCTTCTTCTTCTGATCGAATCAAGGCTTGAACTCTGTGGGGTGGAAAAAAACAGTGTTTTATACTCAACTATTGATAATGCGGAACTAAATAGACAGACTAAATGTCGAAGTTAATTCTATAAATTAATCAGAAATGAAGTCGCGAAGCTGTCAAAAACAGGAGACAGAACTGAAATTCTCAAGTTTTCAGGCCAGTTTCCGCCCCCCCCCCATCAGCCACCTCTTCTTCTCTTTAACTCGAGGCCAGCCTGCCGCACAATATCCTCTGCTTGCTGTCTCCCCCGACCGGGTTCAATCCTCAGATTTAGATTGGGAGCGCTCGCCACCACATTCGCAACTGCCTCTTCGATGCTCTCGGAGGGAATCTGCGAAAGGTCCTCCAGCATTTCCATGGAGACGCTAGAAAGATCCACCTCATGAACTACGTGAATGGTTGGGCTTTTCGGATCCTTCTGAGAGGCTGGTTCAGTGGAACCGGCGTTGTTGGGGTTTGTTAAATGCGCCGGGTCGTAGGCTGCCATTGCGGAGAGGAGTTTGGTGAGTTCCGGTTTAAAAGACTTTGGATAGAGATGGACCAGAAAAGCTGGGACGGCTTCACAGAGCGGAGGTGGCCATGGTTGTCCCTCAGCGCCTGTCGAACTTGGAAGCCGTTCAAAGTGTAGATGCGTGGGCAGAAGAATCTGCAGGTTTCACAATAAATAATGCTTACTCACTGGTTGATAGTAGCATTAAATAAAATCAGTTGCGTTCTAAAATTTGACACAGTTGGTCTCCTATACTTTTAACATATGACAAAAGCAAAATATTGGCTGTGATTAACACATCCACAGCCATCTACCTCACTGTTTTGACACTTTGACTAATGATAACTGGCATCGGACCAGCAGGAATACTCAGATTTCCTGTTCCTTTAACGACCGCTAGCTTCGGTTACTAAAATGACCCATAGATTAACTGCCATTTATGTGAGAAAATGTGTGTTTGCATTCGGGTGCCTGA